CTCCGAGCTACACTAACAAGGTGAATGTCCAATAGCTAGAACCAGAAACAGAAGTGGGGGCGTCACCAGTGGTCTTACAGAAAAATTTCACACCATGAAATCTGACGGTCTTTTTAAGATGGCAAGTTCCCAGACATGCAAGAATGATCTAAACTCGATGATCTATAAGTTTTCGACAGACCTAGGACAAATAGATGGATCCAATAGTAAAAAAAGAGACAACAACAAAACCCTCCCAACAAAGAGAAGCCTGGGGTCATGTGGCTTCTGGGGAATTCAGCCAAACATTTTCAAAGTTGGGGCACTTTGCTGGCTCAGTCTGTGGAGCGTGCAACTCTTGATCTTGGGGTTGAGTTTGAGCCCCACATTGAGTGTAGAGATCACTTAAAAATAAATCTTAACACACACACACACACACACACACACACACACACACACACACACACATTTTAAGAGTTAACCCCAGTCCTTCTCAAACTCTCAGAAAATTGAGAGGAGGGAAAACTTCCTAAATCATTCTGTAAACCCAAAATTACCTTGATATCAAAACCAGATACAGACATTTCAGTAAAAGACTACAGGCCAATATTCCTTGTGAGTATTAATGCAAAAATCCTTAGCAAGATACTGACAAATCTGGCAGTACGTTTGAAGATTCTATACCATGATCAAGGTGTTTCAATGTAAGGAGATCAGTCATCCACACAACACAATACACAGGAATGAGCTGTGGATACAAGCAACAACTTGCATGGACCTCAAGGACATCGTGCTGAATGAAAGAAGGCACACACCAGGAGGAAAAAGAAACAGTAACACACTCCATTCATAGAGCACAGTGGAGAAAATACACGATAACTGCAATTGACATAGAGCACGTGACAAAAGCCAACACTCCTTCATGGTAGAAACACTCATGAAACCGTAGGTAGGAGGGAACTTCCTCAACACAATAAAGGGTGATCATGGAAAGACGCACAGCCAACATCCCACTCAACGGTGAAAGACGAAGCTTTTCCTCTAAGACCGGATATAAGACAGGACGACCTGCTTCCACCGCCACTAGAAATAAAAGGCATTCAGACTGGAATTGAAGAAGTAAAACTGTTTGCACGTGATATGATCCTGTGTATAGGAAATCCCAAAGAATTCACAAGAACATGACTAGAGCTAATAAATTCAGGAAAGTTGCAAGACTAGATCAGCAATCAAAACGTTATGTTCCTGTGCACCTGCAGTGAACAATCTGAAAAGGGAATTAAGAAAGCACTTCCATTGAAAATAACATTAGGGGGGCGCCTAGGTGGCGCAGTCAGTTAAGTGTCCGACTTCAGCCAGGTCACGATCTCGCGGTCCGTGAGTTCGAGCCCCGCGTCAGGCTCTGGGCTGATGGCTCGGAGCCTGCAGCCTGTTTCCGATTCTGTGTCTCCCTCTCTCTCTGCCCCTCCCCCGTTTATGCTCTATCTCTGTCCCAAAAATAAATAAAAAACGTTGAAAAAAAATAAAAAAAAAAAAGAAAATAACATTAGGGCTGGGACGCTTGGCTGCCTCAGTCTGTGGAGCATTTGGCTCTTGATCTTGGGGTTGTGAGTTCCAGCCCCACGTTGGGCACAGAGCTTACTTTAAAATAAAAACATCATCTAAAAGAAAAAATAGGAATAAATTTAAGGATGTAATGTACACCAAAAAGTATAAAACGTTGCTAAAATAAAGAAGATCTACATAAGTGGAAACATCCTTTGTTCATGCATAGGAATACATTATTTTTTGTTTTTTCAATGTTTATTTTAGAGAGAGAGAGAGACAGAGCATGTGCGGGGGAGGGGCATAGACAGAGGGAGACACAGAATCCCAAGCAGGCTCTGGGCCCTGAGCTGTCAGCAGAGCCCAACGCGGGGCTCGAACTCACAAACCGTGAGATCATGACCTAAGCCGAAGTCGGACACTTAACCAACTGAGCCCCCCAGGCGCCCCAGGAATACTTAATTTTAAGACGTCAATGCTAGACAAAAATGATCTACAGGTTCAGTGCCATCCGTCTTAGAATTCCAACAGCCTTTTTTGCCAAAATGGAAAATGAATTCTCAGATTAATGTGGAATTGCAAGGAGCCGCAAATAGCCAAGATATTCTTGAAAAAGAACAAAGTTGGACGACACGGACTGCCCGATTTAAAAACTTACGACGAAGGCATGGTACTCCGAGCAGTGTGGTGCTGGTGTAGTGACAGACACGTGGTTGTCACTGAAGGGAGAGCCCAGAAATGAACACATACACGGATGGCCGACTGATGTTCTGCGAGGGTATGTAGGTTTACTCAGTGGGGAAGAGAACCTTGTCCTCAACCAATGGTGATGGGAAAACCGGATTTCCACATGCAAAGAATGGAGCTGGACCTCACTTCCCACCACATACAAAACATCAGCTAAAAATCGATCAGCAACCCAAAGAGCGAAACCATCCGGCGCCTAGAAACGGCAGCAACAGCAATACGGAGACCGGTCTGCACCCAGCGGGCCTCACAGGGCTTCTGACGCCACAATCCAGAAGCACAAGCACCAGCCCAGTAGGACTTCATCAAAAGCTGTGCGTCAAAGGATGCGGAGTGCACAGAACCGAAGCCCACAGAACGGGAGAAAGTATTTGCAAACAACGTATCTGATACGGAATTTATATCTCAAATACGTTTTTTTTAATGTCCAGAACAATAAAAAAGTAACGCTCAACAACAGATAAAAGCACCTTTCTGACACGAAAGGGGGCTCAGCGTGTAGCGTGTGTAACGGAGCGTGCACACAAATGTGGCCCCGACCTCACGTGCAGCTCGCTCAGACCCAGATCACGGGCACCTGTGCAGGGTTCCCTGTCGTCCACACCCGCTGCTCTGTTGCTTGCAGCTTCGAGGGCTGAGGGGCAGAACAGGTGGGGGGAGACAGGGCCTGTCTCCCCAGATCTACGGGCTGTGGAGGCGGGAATCAAGACCCAGCTTTGGCCCCAAAGCCACTGTCCCCCCTCCCCAGGGAGTCGGAAGAAGGGCTTCTGGACCCCCAGACGTACCCGCAAGCTCAGGGCCACCGGGTGTGGCAGGACAGTCAGAATCGGAATCACCTTCTGGGCCTTCCCAGTGCTGCCGGGAGGGTTTGGAGGGAAGGATATGCCGGGTCTGCAGCCGGGGTAGGAGGGTCAGGCAGCCGAGCTGAGAGGAGAGGACGAGAGGAGGGCCTGCCTGGGGAGAGGCTGCCATCCAGGGGGAAGGAGCCGTGAGCCCTTCTGTCCTGTCCTGGCTTCTACCCTGCAGAGGCCATGGAGACCCTGTGAGGGCAGCTCTCTACTCAACGCAGGACAGGCAGCCCTGGGTGCGGGTCCCGGGACACAGGAACAGGGACACGGGGAGACGGGGACATGGGAGCTTGGGGGCATAGACACAGGATGGGGACAGGGGGACACAGGGAGAGGGACATGGCACAGGGACACAGGGACTGGGACATGGGATAGGGACACAGGGACGGGGACAGGGGCACAATGATGGGCAAGTAGGGACACGACACGGGGACGTGGGGACACAGGGACGGGGACATGGGGTCCCAGGGACCCAGGGGCGGGGACAGGGGATGGGGCCACAGGGACGGGGACAGGGAAACAACGGTGGGCAAATAGGGCTAGGGACACGGGGACATGAGGGACACAGGGAAAGAGGGACAGAGACACAGGGATGGGGACACAGGGGTATAGGGACAGAGAGACACGGGGATGTGGGAACGCAGGACCACAAGGAGCGGGGCACAGGACAAGGACAGGACATGGGGATGGGGGCACGGGGACAGGGACACAGGGATGTGGGGATGGGGACAGGGACTGTGCAGTGATTGTGGTATGGCATTCGGTGACCATGGGGTGACCACACCCCTGGGGTGGTATGACATGATCAACAGTCATTGTCACCATGCTGGTTGCCACAGTGACAGTCCTGGGACAGTGTGTGGGGCAGCTAACTGGCTGCTCCCCAATCAGCCTGGCTTGGGGCCCCGGGTTCTCAGGCTGCAGCCAGAGCGCAGGACCCCAGCCTTGGCCTGTCCCAGTGCTAGACAGGCCGGACCTGGGCAGAGACTGGGGTCGTGCTGGCCAGGGACAGTCTTGGCACGGGGACAGGTGACTCACCTTCCCTTTGTGGCCTTGGGCAGGGGGTGGCTCTGCTGATCTGGCCCCTCACGCATGCCCAGGACTGGATGCCAAGGGAGAGGTGGCCCCCCTGGTGTCTGGGCACTGGGTACCTGCCGCAGCCCCTGGCACTGAAGGGCCAGTAGCCTGAGGGGCTGGGGTCAGGGTCCCAGCTCCCAGCAGGGGCCTGAGGCCGCCGCCTCCCGACCTGGGATCTCAGCAGCTGCATGTCTGCACCGTCTGAGCCCCCGCCTGGGCTCCGAGGCCCCTGCCGCCGCCACAAGGCCTCGCACTGTCGCTTGGACAAGCCCCTTCCTCAGAGCTGCTGGCCTTCTGCGTGAGCCCCCTCCTAGCTGCCGCCACCCCATCTTCCCGAGGCTCCCCCACTTCTCCTCAGGGGTCAGCCCATGTGGCCTTCGCAGCCCTGCCCTCAAGAGCCCGCCCTCCCCCGCGGGCCTTCACTAGGGGGGCAACGTGGCCCAGGGCATCACCCAGCGGCCCAGAGGCTGGGAGAGGCCTGGGTGTGTCCCGGCTGGGCGGGGGCAGCTGGGACACTGGCAGGTCTCTCCCACCTCCCTGTGACTCAGCAGTGGCCCCTAGAGGACAGGCGGCTGGGTGCACGTCCCCTGCCCCGACACCACGCCCTGGAGCCCTCTCCCGCTTCCTGTGTCTCCAAGGTGACCGTCTCCGTAGCGACACGGTGGGTGGCAGGAACCTGGAGGACCCGGAGAAAGGGCATCACGAGCCCGGCGGGGCGGGGGAGGTCGGGCCCAGAGTCCAGCCCCGCCTGGGCTGTCACGTGAGGGTGGCACGCCGGTCATGTGACCGCAGCCCGCGGCAGAGCGGAGATGGGGACCCGGCTCCAGCCGGCCCTCCCCTGGGCCCTGACCCTGCTGCTGGCGCTGGGGCTGTGCAGCCCGGAGGCTGGGGGTGAGTGCGGGCCCGCGGGCGCCCCCCGCCGCCGTGCCCAGTGTCCCCATGCGCTGAGCACCGCGCCCCTCCAGCCCACAGAGTCCCCCAGTGTGACTTCCAGGAGGGCTACTTTGAGCAGCTTCTGGACCACTTCAACTTCGAGAGGTTCGGCAACAAGACCTTCCTCCAGCGGTTCCTGGTGTCAGGTGAGGTGGCCCTGGGGGTCCCGGGGCCCTGAGGTCCCACCCTGT